CAATTACTAAGTTCGGAAGACGAGTACGATAAAATCCTCAATAGATGTTTTCTTAATTGTGATGCAGAAGAGGGAAAGTATATCAGCACTGTCAGCCACCGGACAAAAACTTTTCTGTCAATCACAGAAATTAGCGACTATAAGTTGGCCTAGTCGTCTGTGTCTTTAACCACAAAGAAGGTGAAATAGTGGACTCAAAGTAAAGCAAAATCTGTGTTAATTACAATTTTTAATGTACTTATGCATGGTCTACTTTGTGTCTTTAAAAGAGAAGTTTATCAGAAATGATAAAACTATGATAACGAATGAACCATTTCATGCAGCAAAAATGAAATATATAGAGCATATAAAGTCACAAAGAATTAGGAAAATTCGACCCTTTAAAAAACATCTCCATTATAAATAAATGCTTGATTTTTTGCTAGTTTCAGACTTATTTTTCTCTTTTCTGCAAAAGTCAGGTTTAGATTATGACTATTAATTCTATAATAATTTATTAGGATGGAAGAGTTTAGTGAACAATTGCGCATAAAGATATGTATTCCTGTGGATATGAAGACCAAGATGGTGTGACCTTCTGTTTGGTCATAGTCTCCTTAAGCTTCATATTTATGGTTCGACCTCGTTTTCCCAACTTGGTTAGGGCATTATTGAGACATCGTGGAACGTACTTAGTCCTGTGTCCTTTGCGACACTATTCGTGATGTCCAGCACCGGACCATTGACTTTTGGGAGTGTATCATTTCTGATAAACTACTCTTATAAAGACACAAAGTAGACCATGACAGGCTGACCAAGTAGCGAAAACTGGGTCGAACTAACATTATAATTCCTCCTGGTTCCAAAAGAATGTCAATAAAACTTGATGAGTATAGTAATAGTTAAAGCAAAAGATAGTTTACCTGTTAATCTGGCTTTCAAAATTCCAGGCACAATTGGAAGAATGAGGTGAAATCTCTGTTTCTGAAAAGGCTGAGTCGGGTGCACTTATAACGTCATCTGATTGAGCAGGGGTGGTTATAATTTTGCCATGCTCTTGTCCAACTCTATCAGTAGGAAAGAGCGGTGTAGTCGGTATAAGACTGTTGGAATTTGGGTCTATGATAGTTAACTCGTCTTCCTGTGAAAATAACTCTCCGTACTCCTGTTCCTGATTATTTTCAAAACGAAGGTCAGTGCCGAGGAGTTTTGAGAAAAGGGCCTCCATACTGGCCTGAAATTGGAAGAGAGTTGCGTTGTTGGCACTAAGGCGGTTAATTTGAGCCTAGTAAGTGAACAAGGGAATCAGAGGAAAGAAAAAACCACAACTGATTAACATAAGGGAAATTCTTCTGAAGTAACTTCTAGTAAGAAAGTGTAAGGAGATAAGCAAGCAGCACAAAAAAGGTAATAAAAAAGTATGGCCATGGAGAGTATGTTTCAAGACTATCAGTGTACAATGAATATGAAAGTATGATGACCAAGATGGTGTGGCCTTTTGTGTGGTCGCAGTCTACTTTCGTTGTATAGAAGTTGTTTGACCTTGTTTTCGCAATTTGGTCATATTAGTAAGAAGGCTTAGAGGAATATACCTAGTCCGGAGTCTATTGTATGCATGATAATGTCAAGAATCGGACAGTTGACGTGGTACATTCCCAGACGTTTCGCCGGAATCGTAGTTGGCATCTTTAGTGAGACTTGCCAGTCTTAGCACCACAAAACAACTCGTCAAAGAAACAGGTGAAGCCGATCCTCTGACCAATTGTCTGCTAAACAATCGTTATATCTCTTCTTTTCCTTGGGCTATATATCCTCGTATCACACCTTCACTATCACAATTTTTTACTTGCTTATTTAAATGTGGTATGTTGTGCCCTTTTCAGCGGTTTTCATGATAACTCTCTATACTCCACGCTGGCTTTTTTATTCCCCTCACGCCCATTCACCCTTGTGTTGGGTGTTGATCAGAGTCTGCCATATTGTGACGTAGTCCTCCTCCCCTAGTTCTTATCAGAGTCTCCCTCTTTCCCCGTAGGATCCGTCTGCTATCTTCCTGGTTCAAGCATTTCACTCTGCCCCTGCCACCCCATCTGTGCTCCACGAGGCGTTATTTCCCACACTTTGTATCTGCTAGACTAACTCGAGACTAAAAACACCGCTTTAGGCTTATTGGCTGCTCTATGCTTGCCCTATATGCATGTATGCAAATGAAATTGATGCAGGAGGGGGAACGGATATGATAACAACTTTTCTTTATGTAAATAAATTAACGTGTGATCTTGTAATTCTGGGGCTTGTTTTAGCTTCGTGGATACTTGTGCGTTGTGTGTATGCAACACTTACGAATTATTTGGCAATTTTGGGTCACAAACCAGACTCCTGGTTAATCAAGTCTTCACCTCTTTCTCAGTGGCTCTTACTATTCCCTTTCACGCTCTACCTTATTCTATCCAGCAGTCAGAGATAGTTCTTGTTTAGTTTCCTACATTCGTTCTTATTATTCAGGATTTTCTTTGTTTTGTTAAGTTCAATTGACTCCCTGATCTTGTGTTTAGTTGTGAAGTCCCCATATACGGCAAAATTTTGGTGTTAGACCACTCTATCTGGTGTCCTGTAGTGATCATATCTTCAGCTACCTCATGTTCTGGATTCATAAACCTTTGCATGAGGTTTTGTGTTCTTATAGACTCTAATGTATGTAAGCACAAAGCAACCAACCAAATTTGGGAATACCCCATTAAGATCGCAAAGTGGGATATAAGAAGTAGAATCTCAGCTGGCCACCTGTCTTGGTTTAGTGTTTAGTGTTAGTTTTATAGGCAAGAAAGCAAGACCATGCATTGCGGGGCATAATCAATTACTCGTGTAAAATTCAACTATCAGTCTTACAAAGGTGACCAAATTTCCTAATCATGGATATTTTAAAGTTATAATGGGAAATTCTCTTAAACTAATTTTAACCTCTGAGATGTCGCTGTTTCATAAAATTTTCGAGAATTTGGTGTAAAATAAAGGTTAATAATTTGGAAGTGTTTGGGGGAAGTCGCTGTGTTTAGAGCAAACTAAAATTTGGATAAAGGAAAAGCTACAAATAAAATTTCCATTCATTATAACTTAAAATAAATTTAAATTTTAAGAACATTAAGTGAAAAAGTCTAGGCCCTCAAAACCATTAAAAGGAATGATTATGAGTTTACACAATCAGTGGTTTATCATAGCGTCTCTCTCAAGGGAGAAACCAAACTGAAAAGTTGAAACGGGTTAGTGACAAGAGGCAGCAAATAAAAGCTCATTTTATGATGACAATGTTGCATATGATCTCGAAACGGTAACCACTAAGCTGCACTGCCACAAGTGTCCTGGGATCTCAGGGCGTTTTCACATATCACATTCTGTCGTGGGATTGTCGATGAGGCAAATTAATATTTCCTATAGCAATCGACGCGATTACTTATTTTTCGTGTTTGAAGTAGCTATTCGATACTATTCATTTAATTGTGGAAAAATTCAACCACCATTCCTTAACGAAATAGGGTAAAAACATCTCATATATCTAATCTATTGTTAGTTTGACGACCTACTTCAAAAACGAAAAAAATATTATACTTTATAATGAGATGTATTCACCTTATTTCGTAACCCCTACTTAAAATATATTTACTATGGAGCTAGAAAAAGAAATTAAACTACTACTACGCTAGTTGAGAGAAGCAAATAAAATTAAAATGTGAACACTATGAAAGTAATGATTTCGAATGGGAAAGTGAGACGTGGGTCGTATGGCATGAAGAGGAATATTTTTGCTTCTTGAACTGCACGCCCATAGTCCTAATCCAAGGTGAGATCAAAAATGAAATCTATCCCATAAGAGAATGGCTTTACGTAGCAAAGTAAGGTATGACGAAAAATCCAAGAAAAATCAGTTTAAAGTGATATACCTCGACAATAACCAGCCATCAGATAATTTTAAAATAAAAGCTGCAACTGAGTAGCTTTCATTTAATTTGAAGAGGTGAATGGAAAGTATTCGTAAATTGGTATCAATGGAAGTCGAAGGTCGTTTGTCTTGGGGCTGTGACTGTAACTTTGTGTGAATAAGTACTTGGCTCACTGTCACACGACCACAATGAATCTTAGGGGAGCTTTAATCAGTAATATGACGGACATCGTCAAATCAAGACACCATGCTATAATGTAATTAGCCAAACACGAAGACAAGAAAGTTGGCCGGCTGCAATCCTGCCTACTTCTTATAGCCTAGCTATCTACATTTAATGAGACAACTCATGATTTGGTTGGATATCCTATACTTTCCCTACATGCTTGTTAAAAATACGTAGACTGCAGATGAAGCATGAAATGGACGCAATTGTGAGCGAACAACTGATTAACATCTGCAAAATGCAGGCTCATTATTATCATGGATTTCATAACTCATACATGACCCACACATGAGCACATAAGTATGGAAATTGTTTGATTTTGGTTTCGCAACTTGGTCGTATTGCCAGAGCGGATTACACCTCGTCTGTAGTCCATAGAATCCATAAGCATTTATAGAGTCGGACCATGGAATCGGTACACAACTTTGTATATAACGAAAGGGGACCGCAAACATACTTAAGGTCCCACCATCATGGCCTTTATGGGTCCCATAAGTATGCTTTAAAGAGAAATTTAAAAGGAACCTTATATTTGTGGGTTTCCTATATACATTTATACTCTGTTTGTTTCCTTCTCTGCTAACTAAGACATCTAGAAAAAGTAGACTACCATACGTTTCTAGTCCCTCGGCGAACTGGATATTCCTGTCGATTCTATTCCTAAATGTTAGGAAGTCTACTAGGCTTTCTTTGCCATGTTGTCATACGGAAAAGTGGACATCCATGAAACGAAGCCCTAATTCAGGAACTAATAGTGCTTCTTGTATTAGGCAAATTTCTAATTGAGCCATATATTTATTTGCAAAAATTTGGGGCAAACATTGATCCGATAACTAAGCCTCGTATTTGTTCGTACAGTTTACTTTTGAAAGTAATATATGCACAGCTCATCAGTAACTTCATCCACATCATTATTTACTCCATAACCAAAGGTGTAATTCTTAAAATATATAGGTTTGCGTACAAATAGACAGATAAATCATGGTGTTTTGTACATCACGCTGCCCTTATTGTTGGAAATAATTCTGAATCGGACTGCTTCCTTATGTATCTTGGATAGATTATATGCATTTGGGGACCTGGCATCACGTCGAAAAAGTGTGTTTATTTTCCACTTCTCTAATTCCCCCTTTGTTACCCAATGTTACCGTCAATTGCCGTGTCTAGACTTCAAGATTCCTGTAAGGTCCTTACTGATAAGCTTGTAAAGTAAGGTATCATCCAACGCATACATTCTCTTTTCTACGCAACTGACCTTATCAACGACCTCCACTGCTTCTCTCTCATCTGGCCTTAACACTATTTGTTCGTTGTCCCTTAGGTTTCTAATAGTTATGATCTTCTTAAACGACATGGATGGAATAGACAAATTTACAATAGATGTGGAAGAGAAGGGATACTTATCTTTCTTGGATTAGGAGGTAATTTGCTCAAAAGACTATCAAAAAGTGGTTGTTCCGAACGAAATGGCATGCAGGGGCAAGCCTTAAAATCCAGTCTCATCATACTTATGGAATGAAGATTGGTATACCCAGGAGTATGGTCATAAGGAGTCGACAACTCCCCTATTCACTGGAAAAAATAAGTCAGATATATCTTGGGAACGGATTCCCAGAAGAAGCAACACAACGCAACATACAGATCGTGATGAGCAGATGGAAGGACAGTGATTATAAAAAGAAGGCAAGGGAAACAGAAGAAAAACAATAGATATGCCTACGATCATGCGAATTGGTTCAGAAGTTGCGGCAGTTACTACTTGGATGGAAAATTCATAGAATACTGAAGGAAAAACACCAAAAATGGAAGATCAGGGAGACCGTGAGCATCATCTTTTAAAGGAACCTGATTAACAGGAGATTGGAAGAGTAGAGAAAACGAGAAGTTTGCATTTGGTCCGAGCAGACTTGGGGTTTCAGCAAGGAAATCATAAGAAGACGCTTGAACGAAGAATATCTATTGAGCGATAGGAATAAATGTATGAAGATATGCTGGGTTTCGAAACATCTCTTGATTTATTGATAATGGCATACCTCTAATTGCGTTTTAGAAGGCGGATTGGAGA